TCCAATAATATTTCTTAGCAAAAGTTTTCACCTGCTGAACAGAAGTACAGTACAATCAAAAGGGAGTGTGCTGCCATTGTCTTTGCAGTACAAAAGGTAAAATTCTACATAGATGGACCTCATAAGTTCATCATTAAGAATGATCATAATCCTTTAATATGGGTGGATAAAAACACTGGAACTAATCCTAGACTATTAAGATGGGCTTTGATCTTACAACCTATAGAAAGGGGAAGCACCTTCAAAATGCTGACAGTTTAAGTCATCGTATCCAAACATCTCACAACTAAAAATATATATTCTAGGCAGTTTAAAACTTCATTGCTTAAATTGTTCTAATATTAGAATATTAAATTTTATATGTTTATTTAAAATGCTTGTTTTAAAGCACTTGTACTTATTTGGTCTGGTATCTAATTGTATTTGTTACAGATATGCATTTTGTACAGAGTACATTTTGTCTTGTAAACAAATTTAATTCTTGAAAGTTCCATAAAATTGAAAGAAAAACTTTTGTTGGAAAAGTTCCCTGTGAGGAAAGGAGTTTATAACTGCAAAATATTTGCATTACTACACTATCAACATAATTTCACTAAGAAATATAAAGAAACCTCACACATAAAATATCTGTGCTTGAAGATCTGTGCACCTAAAACTGTTTTCCAGTTATTATAAGTTAAGATAATAAAGTTGGTTGCTCTGTCATAAATGGCAAGATTTCTTTAAAATTTCATTATTTTATATATGTGTGTGTAATGTTAGTTATCCAAACAATATTGAAGAAAATTTAATGTATCTAACTACAAAATACTGAAGACTTGCTAAAGCATTTTCTTTTCTTTTTTCTTTTTTTTTTTTTTTTTTTTGTGGGGGGAGGAGGTGATTGGTCCAGTATAACTAATCAATGGTAAAATGCATTAGGGCTGTTTAATTGAAATTGGGAGACATATTTCATAGAGGACTTTTGTTATTTAAGAGAAACAAACTAATGTTTATATTTATATAATGTTGGAATAGGTGAATGTGTGTAATGACATAGTTTGATACTTTAGAACAGGGGGAGTAGATTTCATAGTTTTAGAGGAGGAGAATGCAGTTTTCCTTTTATTTTGCTGTTGAAGATTTAGTTTTAATTTATGAATATATAAACTACTTTTATTCAAGTTTGGTGTTTTACCAACCTTTTTTTATTCTTTGTGTTGTTTAATTTATAAAACACCAAAATAATCTAAATCTAAATAAATGAGTATACCGTATTTGCCGTTGTATAAGACGCACCACTTTTTTATACACATTTTTGAAGGATAAAACTTTATTATTTATCCTTATTATAATGAATTTACAGTATTTGAAATAAAATGTAATGCAAATACAAAGTTGCTGCAAATACCCAATCTATGAGTTGCTTTTTTTTTTTTTTTTAGATCCTCTTCCTGATTCCACCAAGTTCTGATCATTTTCTCAGTTGAGGGTGGCCCGAAATGCCTCTTTGCAGCTCTGTTTCCATGTTCTTTAGCATACACAATCATATGTAGCTTATATGCGATGTTATAGCAATATCGACATTGTTTTTGAGCCATAACTTGCCAACAAATTTAAGAAAATTGAACAGTAGAAATTTCACACACTTAAAACTCATTCGCAAAAATTGGAAAATTTAAATAAACTCAGCAGTGATAGTCAATGATAGCAGATGCACATTCACTGAACTTTATGTTATTGTAATATTCCCACACTCCTCAAGGAAACAAGAAAAAAAATCTCATAACTCCGAATACAGGAAATTTCCAGAAATGAATGTAATAAAAAACTGAGTATCAGCGTATAAAGATGCACTCCGTTTTTTAGACCTATTTTCAAAGGAAAAATATGTGTCTTATACGCCGGCAAATATGGTATATATTTTTCGAGTTTCGAAAGGAGGGAGAGGAGAAATAAGCTAGCAACGGGTGAAAAGAGTGCATGGGGTAAAGCAATATGAGACTTCAGAGTCATTTTCCCGTTGCCTCGTTACCATGGTAACCTGAGCTGATGGTGGAAAATGTTCGATACCCCTATTTCCCCCCCTCATTTTCTTTCTATTTAGCATGCAAGAGCACACAGATAAAAGCTTACTTTAACTGTAGTTCCAAATGCAGAAAAAGCGCTGTGTGTTGTTGCTGATATGCTAAATGAAGAAGGTTGAAAAACTTTGAAATGCTTCTTTTAACCCTGACACAACCTTTTGGATCTGGTCACAAAGACCTGTATTTAAATTGCATTTATGAGCTAAATTTATACAATTGCTTATTTTAGTTTTGTTTTCATAAACTTCCATTTATTAAGATCATGGTGTTTACAGCATTAAAGAAAGTGAAAAAGCAAAATATTTTAAATTGTAAGCTACTATATACCAAGTGACAAAATATCTCATGACTGAATAAAGGCGGTCATATCACTCAGAGGGTTAAAATAACAGACTTAACTATAGCAGAGCCAGAGCTTTTGCTGCCCGGGGCGACCTGTTTGCTATCCTTCTGAATGCATTTTAAAAAAATCCATTAAATGTCAAAATGCCATATAGGAAAATAAAAAAAAGTTTGTTTACTTTTGATATAAAACCATAATCTCAACATTCTAAAGTGCTCTTTTGCTTGTTCTTCTGATTACTACTATTATTGATGACATTCTGAAATTTGCTTATAACTCTAGTTGCTGTTCTGGACACAGTACAGTATGATTTCTTAAACAGAAGGTACTCTTTTATTTTTAGGTGGTTTTTAATTTATTTGCGCTGAAAAAAAATTCTCTCATAACAAGTGATATTTAGAACAACTGTGAGGAAAATTCATAGTAGCATGTTGGAATATTGTGGCTGTATTTTATCTTTCCTAGCAATAATAGAAATACAGATTTTAAGTATTTCTTGCTCAACAAGGAATCATATTTATTAGTGTCATAATTTTGTCAACATTCATATTTTTCATTCAAAAGTTTCGATGGAGTAAGGGAAGGCAGAGCAAGAATATAAATAAACTTGCTATGCTTAGAAGACAGGATAAACGGCTATGGGGATGAAATATCGAGTCTAAATTATATAGCTCAAATACTGAAGTTTTTCAAGGCATTCAGTTGAATTCACTGTTATCTGAAGACCAACAAAAAAGATTTAAAGCACTTAATAGGCAAATATTCCTGTATTAACTCTAATGAACCAGAATGTACTGACCTTACTAAACATGATATAGAACTAGAAACAGAAAGACTGTTATGCGCAAAACCTTATCGGATGTCTGCTAGTTGTTAAAACCTTTTTTTGAAACTGCAATTTCTTTGAAACTCTGTGGAGTGTAAAAACAAGCCTCTGTTCAACTCAGTTTCATGTGATGATTCAGAATTTTAGTATTCTCACTTTACCAGTTACCAACTTGATAAGACCACTGAATATTGCTAGTTTGACCTGGGATCAAATCCAGTGAAGATGCTAATGAGGTTTGGCCTCATTAGCATTTTGATAGTTCATCTTAAGTCTAATATGAGCTAGTGTCCCTTTTGTAACATGAATATGAGCAGTTTTACAGTTTCTAAGTCGTTCATGGAGAACCTTAGCTCTTCATTAAGAAATCCCTCCTCTTAAGCAGATAACTATAGCAAGCACTGCCATAACATAAAATATACCAGTCGTTTTTCCTGCCACAAGATTTAAATGAATACCATTGTACTATATGTTTTCAATGAAAATTGCCACCCCAAAAATATACTTCCTTGGGCAGATTGTTCCGTTTGCTTCTTTCCATCTGGCTGCATCAGTTATTGATAGCTCGACCTAGGTTCATATCTCAATTTACAGGCTCACAACATGGGACCTTTTCCCCCACCCATAATGTGGATATGAGTCAGTTTTCCTTTAAAAGTCTCCGAGAAGGCATTTACCCCCCCCCCCCCCCCCCCCCCCCGAGACAAATAGTCCTCAAGTTGCTTTGCTTTAATAAATTAACATAACCTTAATAAATACCAAAGAAACAATCATCAACCAAGCCTTTACAGTTGAAATTTAAATCTGAGTGCTAACAATTTCTATTAACGGAGCTGTTAGTGGGCATGAATTGTTCTAATAGGTTTTAATAACATGTTTTCTTTTGTTATTCTTATAGTTTGCAACTATGATAAATTATAAAACCTGAGCATGACACTGAGCATCTAATTATGCCAACAAATAACTTCCGTTGTTACTTTTTATTTTGAAAATCATTTGTATTATGAATAAACATTTTGCTGCATAAAAGGGAAATATAGTAGTCAAAGTAGTTCTTTTGTGGTCAAATTCTTTAACTAAGAGTTTGTCTTTAACTATTTGATTACATTTAATTAATTATGCTGAAGTTGATTTTGCATTTGAATGTTACTATACAGTTTGGAAATCTAGTCTGTCATTATCATTATTATAATAACAATTATTCTTGACAAGTTGTTCTTTTAATCAGTAATTATTTATTATATGTAATAACAGTTGCAAAGCATTAACGAATTTTGACACTGGAAGGCCTCAAATTCGCATAATTTCAGTATCATTCATATGATCACCTTCAATAGCAGTGAATACTGATGAATGTAATAATGAATTATTTTCAAAACTGATCTGTAGATATAACAAAATAATTATGATTTAAGTATAGTTTCAAATATGTTGACTATATATTATGTGAACAATTATTATTATTATTATTTTTCAAATTAGCATTATGTTTGAATTTCTGCTTTTAATGGATTGTTAGTAACCTTGTTGCTATGAATATTTGTTGGGGGATGTAAAATATGTAACTGCCTGTGTTGACTATTTTTGCTCTAACAAAGAGATGTCAACATTAATTAAATAGATAACTACATACATATGTGTTTATGCATTTGTATATTGGAATAACAAATGTACTAAAAACATTATATTAATATTATTGCCATATTTATGTTGTATATTGTTTGTATGCTCTTTAAATAAAGTTGTCAGATATATTTATTTTTAGATTCTGCCTTATTTTGTGATGGCATCACTTAGCATGATTCCAGGCTTACCAGGTTTATTTGTAGCAGGCATCTTTAGTGGAACATTAAGCACAATGTCATCCGCAATTAATTCATTAGCAGCTGTTACAGTTGAAGATTTCTTCAGACCACTTTGTTTTCGTGATATTTCAGAGAGTCGAATTGCATGTTTTACAAAAGTAACTGGTAATTGTCATATTTTTTATATTTCATTTTTGACATGGTATATGAAAAAATCTGCAGTCAGTTCAACTTAAGTTATTATTTCTTTTGAAATTCATAAAATTTGAATTTTAAAAGTTTGAATTCAACTCCTATGAAATATCGAGGGAGTTCTTATATTTTGGTAATTTTCATAATCTGTGTCCTGTCTGATTTTCCATTTTTTTGAAACATAATTATTTCTAATGTACAATAAGCTAATCAGCATTTAATATTTTGACTATTAACTGAATATGAAAGTGAAATATGTGGTTTTTATTCAATATTAAAGTCCATTGTAACCATAGTTAAAGAACATTGTGCTCCCTTCTATTTCACTTCAGAAGTGAGGTTATTGATAAAAATTTTGTTATCCTGAAAAGTAAGTGATGAATTGTGTAAAAGTTTTAACTGAATAATTCTAATGATTATTTAAACTTTAGTTTAATAACAGAACATAAAATGATAAATGGCACTTTATATGCTTGCAACTACTAGGTTGGATGAGAGTACAAAAGTTCCCAATTTATTATTAATCTTATCAAAACTTAAGCAGCACTTTATTATATCTTATGAACAACCAATTCTACATGTAAAACCATAAGATGAATTTTTTAAGTGGAAAATTTAGGATTATCTTCTACTAAAAAAGAAGCAAAATTTCTTCAATAGAAAGGAATTCACTCACTGGATATTTTGAAAATAATCATGAAATGAAACTTTAATTTGCCATCAGAATATGATGGCAATGCAGTTTATTATATGTTGCAGTAAAAGAACATATAATGTTACTGTAAATTATTTGAATCATCTCAACTCTGTTTTTAACAGTTTTGAGGTATATGTATTCTTGATGCAAAGAATTTTCGTTGAAATATGATACCCAAAAGTTTTAGCAATTACAATACTTCTTTTCCTTCGTACAAGGAAGTAAAAAAATTGGAGATCTAAATTTGACTGTTGACATGACATTGTCTGTTTACTAAATGTGTTTTTTCTGTGGAGCATTTGGCTGTATGCTCAGGGACAAACAAGTGTTTTCTTTTTCAAGTATCAAAATTTTCAATAGCAGTAATCATAAAAGCAGTAAAAAAATAATAAAAATGAAAGTTCCATTATGTATTCCAATTTTAGAAGTCATTCTGCAAAGCAGAGTTAGAAAGAGCTAGATCTGAACGCTTGAAGTAAATTGTAATCACAGTTCCAATGATCTAGGCATCGGTGTACCAGGGCTGGCTCTAGGGTTTTTGTCGTGGTAGGCAAACTTTAATAGTGACGCCTCTGAAGCTTCACAAACTTCAGTTTTACAAAAAACAATGTGGTACAAACCAGAAAAGTACGGTTTAATCTAATTTAATTAAGACAATAATACTTATGCAATGTTTAACAAACAATTTTTTAAGAAAAACATGCAAATGTGGGAATTAAAACTAGTGTTAACAATACTTTTAAAAGACTAGAGTATGCTAGTGGGCTTTTCAAGCAAACAATCAATTCACAAATAAATTTTTTGTTAGCAAATTAAAATTTTCAGAGTGTTTGATTAATATGTTGCAACAATCCTCAACAGACAAAAATTAACTCGTGCAACCCGTAACAACCAATTTGTAAATAATTTTTTTGTGGCCAGATTAGTGTTGTCAGAGTATTTAATATCTTGCAACAACCCACAGTAATCAATAATTAATATCTCATGCAACCCGCAACAACCAATTTATAAATAAATTTTTTGTTTCCAATATAGCATTTTCAGAATTTTTAATTAATATCTTGGCTGATTAAAACATACAAAGATGAGAATGGTCGGAATGGTTTCCCATTAATTTTTGGAATCGGGGTACCTCTCTCAAGGAACTCAACTCCCCTCCCCATTCCAGAGGAGATGATATTACTAACAAACAGACAGATGCGTACAGATTTGAATAGTATAGATTATTATAAGATACAAAGTTTAAGCCTAAATTAAAATAATTTCTTTTGAACCTTTTTTTTCTGCAAAATTTTGAATAACTTCTTTTGGATCTAATTTAATACTCAGTTCGTGTTCAGTGGCCAACACTGCTAACCCATCAAGGCCATTTTGAGAAGACATGGCTCTTAAGTATTTTATTATTATTATTATTATTATTTGTAGTTTAGAGAAAGATCTTTAGCTACAGTTTTTTTTTTATTATTATTTTAGTAATATCTTTAGTGATAGCAACAGTTATGGACACTGTTAGCAAACTTCTTATGGCAATACTTAAATTTGGCCCAATGTTAAGGGGAGTTGTTGGAAAATATAGCTTATTTTTAAACCTTTTACTGCATCATCTCTCCTCCTTGAAATGTTTATTTAGTTTAGTCCTTATTTTAATGTAATATAGTAGTTACTTCTACTTCTTTTTCTTGCTGCCACTGTTTGCATTGAGAATGGACTGTTTCAACCTAATTGAGATGCAAAAACGAAACTGATGTTCTCATCTGAAAAGCCATCGTGCCGATAGCTGATGTTGCCGTGAGATGAGTCATTCTATTTCTGCTATAATATCTCGCGTCGCTCTGGCTCACCTCATTTTTTATTGGACATCAGCGATGGCTGCTAACAGTGACGGACGTACGAGCTCTGAGCTCCGTAATGTCAATGCGAATGGTATCCTGAATACGGCGCCGCCAGCGGGCAATCAACAACTTCTCTCCCCCTTTACTGATACAAAACTGAAATGGAAGTAAACTGCAACTACTCCACCTGCCTCTCCTTCAGCGCTAGAGCTTATCCAAGAGCGCAATCCAGATTTACTCTCTCAAAAATCGGCACACAGACCTCCTTTTCGATATCCAGCGTCTTCAACGAACGAGACTCCGAATAAGGAACTGATGATCAAACAGTTACAGGATGAGGGTGAGAAAGTTTTATTTTCCTTACATACCTCTCTGCACTAAACTCGGCATAAATTTATTTACCCTCCCTGCCACTGAAGAGGAATTCTTCAAAGAATGTAAAAATCCTCTAAAACCCCTGATTCGGATCCTAAAAATTCAAAATTCAAAACAAATCCACCCTCATCCTCAGCCAATCAAAATCCTCCAAAAGAAAATCCCAAAAATGATTCTAAAAAACGAACCAGACCCACAGACAATGAAGGATTTGCAGTTCCTCCTAAACATTTAATTGCCAAAAAACCACTTCCCAACACTAATAATAATGAAAACATTACAACATCCAATTCTTTCACAAACATACAAAACTCTGATAACACTGAACACTCGACGCAGCAGCCGGCTGTCACTCAAACACCAAAAATTCAAGCACCACCTCCAATTTTCATAAAACCGCGAGCTGATTGGTTCTTTCTCCTCAATCAGTTACGCCGACATGCACCAACTGTTCTTTCCAAACAAAACATAGATTTTCTTAAACTCACCACCACTAACGAAACAGACTATAGAACAGTTGTTAGATTCCTCACAGACAATAATATTGAATTCAAATCACACACTCAAATCAGATAGACCACTTAAAGTTGGTCATTAGGGGATTACCCTCAAATACACACCGCTCAACGTTGTGCAGACTGCGGTTGAAGTGCTTGGCTTCAAAATTCACAAAATCTCTCAACTAAAGAAATGGAAGACCAAAATGCCAATGCCTCTCTTTTATTTACAAATCTTCAATAGCCTCAAAGCCGAAGAAATCTATTCTATAACCGAACTCCTTGGAACTGAAGTATCCATGGAGCACTTCAAAGGACAGAAGGGTCCCTCCCAATGCTGGCGTTGTCAGGGATTTTTTCATTCATCTGAAGTTTGCACCTTACCAAGACGATGCGTCAGATGCGCTGGGCCGCATCAAGCCAAAGAATGCACTAAACCCTTTGAAGAGCCGAACAAATGTGCAAATTGTTCGGGAAACCATGCTGCTAACTGGCGTTCCTGCCCGAAGTTTCCCAGGCTCCAAAAACAGACAACCTCCAAAGCCAAGTACCAAACCCAGTCAGACCGTTGACAACACAACAAATTTAACCTACAACACAATACATTTCCAGTTCTGCCGGCTGCACACACTCCCAGTGCAAATAATACTCGCCCTGGAGTATCATACTCTGCTGCCCTTACGGGTATGCAACAGACTGCACCCCAAATTCTTCCAAATTTATCGGTCCCCTTAGGAGCAAATTCGACTCTAAATTGTACCGAAATCCTTTTGGCTATAATCCAAATTTCAAACCAGCCTGGTATTGACCAGAGCAAATTACTTTTGGCATTCAAAAACGCCTTACCGCAGCTCAGAGTGGCTCCATCTGGTGCTGACGCGGCTTACTACATCTTTGAGAGTTATATTACTCTCCAATTCTCTGATTCCCACATCATTAAAATTCAATACTTTGAAAGGGTTGAAAAATCTTAAACTATGCACCTGGAATGCAAATGGCATTCTTTCCAAATTCCATGAGTTTAGAGACTATGTAGAAGAGAAGGATTTTGATATCATTTTTGTCCAAGAGACCAAACTCCAGCCAGGGAGAGCTCCCAAGCTTGTAAATTATGCATTATATAAAAATGACAGACAAGCTTCAGATACACGTGATGTTTATCATGGTGGCACTTGTGTCTACATAAAAAATTCAATACCCCATCGAAGAATTGACACACCCCGAAATATGAGCAAACTTGAAGCAACAATCATCGAAATTTTTATTCAAAATTCACCATCCCTAGTTATGATCTCTGCCTATCTCCCACCAGGTGGAAATTTTCCTGTGGTAGATTTTAACAAACTGCTCAATTTTTCAAATAATCTTATCATAGCTGGTGATTTAAATTGTCACCATCAGCATTGGCGTTGTCATAGATCAAACCCTGCTGGTCGTGGCCTTCTAAAATGGGCTCAGTGCGCCCAAATTAAAATTATTGCGCCGGATTCCCCTACTAGATATGGTTCACGGGGTGCCCCTTCATTCATTGATTTGGCACTCTTTCGAAACATCCCTTTTGGATATCACGTG